AACCAGAGATATACAATTTGTAACTTAAAAATTTCAAAACTAGAAATTTATAGGCCCATATGGTTTCAGAGGAAAATTCTGTGAACCTTTCAAAGAATCAGCACGAATTCTACACAATGCCTTAAACACCACAAAAAAAGGCGACACTTCTCCACAAAGTTGATGAGCTCAACTTCACTCTGATGCCAAAAACAGACAAAAACAGTGCAAAAAGAAAAAATAAAAGTAGCTACCAACATCCCTCATGAACACGGAGAGAAAAATCACCAGGGAAGTAAGACCAAAGAGAACGCAGGACAGAGAGAAGGAATGCCACAGCAGGAGGGAATGGACGTTCTTCCAGGAATGCAAGGATAGTTTGATATTTTTTCATCAGTCTAAGGCTCCACCTCATAAAACCCACTCGCTCTGACTGGAGTAAAGCCAGGCGCCAGGTGCCCAGGCGCTCAGCGCAGCGCACAGAGGCCGCACCTGGGCCCACCTGGGCCGCACCACCTGGGCCGCACCTCGGGGCCCCTTCTGCCAGACGCGGCACGTGCGCGGAGGCACCCCGCCGCCGGTCAGGGCCCCCAGGCAGGCGAGCTCCGTGCCCACACCCCTGCCCCGCGCACCCAGGTCGTGGTGAGGCGCCAGGTCGCTCTTCGCCCGGACCGTCTCCTCGCTCAGAACCAGCTTCCGGGCCGCCGGCGCCATGTTCTCAAAGGCGACGCTGCGGCGCCTGCGCGGTGGGCGGGGCCTGGGTGGGCGCGGCCAACAGCCCGGCGGGAGGAGCCCGAGTGGGCGGTGCCAACGGCCGGGTCCGGCGCTGTGAAGGGCCCAGCCGGCGCGGTGCCCTGTGGGGACTCCGCCTCCTCCTTTCCCTTCCCGCCCCGGGGACCCCCACTGGGAGCCCGCCCCCTCCTCTCCAGCGCCAGCCGCCCAGCACCGGTTCCCAGCGTTCTCCCTGAGCCAGGCCCTGGCCGGTGGCCTTCCCTCTTCAGTCCCAAGGCTGTGGCTCCTCCACCCACCGCGTCCTGAGGTCCACGTGTTTTTCCCTTTGAGGGCCCCTGACCAGCTTTCCCGGGGGAAGCGACGGAGTTAGCGGTGTAGCAGGGTCTCCAGGTGACAGGCGGCCCAGCCTGCACAGGCCTGGGGGTGTGAGCCCAGGGCCGGGGGGATGCCCCTCATAGCCTTTCTCCTGGTGTCTAGGGGCCCCCAGATCCCCCCACCCCAGATTAGATGGGCCTTCCGGTAATGTCCCCCGCGAGTCACAGCCTGGGTGGTGACAGGCCGTGTCCTGGTGGTGTGCAGGGGGTGGGGCGGGGGAGCAGTTAGGTGGTGCAGGCAGAGGGTGTGTGCAGGGTGGAGGGTGGTGGACGCAGGGTCTGGGCATCTCCCTGAGCAGAGCCCAGCTTCACCCCTGAGCACCTGCCTGCCCCAGAGGGCCTTCTGTGCCGGCTCTGGGTGTGCAACAGGAGCAAGGCCGATGACCCCATCGGCCTCAGGCTGGCTGCCCCATGCGAGGACAGATGTGTCTTCACTGACAACCCAGGAGGACGCCAAGGGGTTCCCACTGTGACCCTGAATTTAGACTCTGGAGCTGTGGGGGCTGACGGCCCTCCCGGGCGACACTGCAGACCTCATGCCGAGATGCATTGGATCGTCGTTTATTGAGACTCCCCAACACCCAATGCTACTTTGAGTAAAGAGTGTCCTGTAACTCTCACAAAGATCCCAAACCCAGATGCTGTACCCTGTTCCCTTCCTACGAGACTGAGTGTTGGGCACAGCGGAGGCCAGTCCAGTCACTACACCTGGTACCCAGTGAGTGGAATTGTGCAGCCAGGAAACTAGAAACAGTGAACAAATATCCCGCTTTTCAGAAGCAAATAAAGGCACACAAAAGGCTTCCATGGGCCTCTGCCCAAGAGAGGTAGCTTTTCGGGACACAACCCAAACTCTAAACATGTGCTCCCTCCTCCTGGGCAGGTCCCCAGCCAAGGGCAGCTCAGGTCAGGCCAGGTGGCCAGTGGGGACAGAGCCACATGGGGTCAGCTGCTCTGCTGTGATGGAAGTCCACTGGAAACTTCAAAAATGAGGTTTTCTGCTTACTGAAGTATTGCGTCTCATGGCAGAAAACACAGAAGAGAACAGAGATTAGGTGTGCCAGCACACAGAGGTAACCAACGCTAACATTTCCACATACATCCTTCGAGTGTTTTTACAAGCCTCCACGTATTTTACAAGATGAGATTATGCTAAGCATTGTCATATATGTATACCTGTCACTATTCTTTAACATCATTTATTAAATGTCATTTTTAATGGTCACATTAGATCATGAGCTAAACCCAAATTTACTTAACCCATCTTCTGTTGCTGGACATTTCATCCATTTCCACTTTGTTATGGTGATAAGTGTAGACAGACTTATGTCGGTCCGGGATGTTCTCTTGATGCAATGGTGCTGGATCGAGTGGGGTTGGATTTCCTGAGCTGGGTGTCTGATGGTCTGAGCCAAGGTTGAAGGGACCTAGGAGCAAAGTGGAGGAACTTAACCTGCCCGCCCAACCCACGCTCCCGTGATCAGCAGTGCCGAGGAGAGGAGCAATTTGGGAACAACCCTGGCTATTCCTGCCTGCTGCCCCAAAGCAGGTGGGCCCCTCCCCTGTCTCCCAGGTCCTCCCACAGCTCTGACCCCCACTGTGTTAAAGTCTGGAGCTTTCTAGAATATTACAGGGAGACTCCCAGGCCCCCTTCCCACCTCAGTTGCCAAGCCTGTGGGCACCAAACTGCAGGATCAGTTGCCCCTGAAGAGACTGGCCAGAGGGAGGAGACAGGGACACCCACACAGGCCAGCGAGGGCAGGACGGGGGCGGGGCTGGTGGCCTGAGGGGTCTGCACTTTCTCCAAACGGTGAGAAGGGTGGGGGTGGGAGGAGGCTTCAACGTGTAAGGGGGTGCTCTAGAGGGATGGGGGCCATCCCAGAGACGGGAGCTCATCCCAGCCCCTTGGCCCCCAGTGTCCCCATCAGAGCCGTGCAGAGCAGCTGCCACGGGGTCTGCTGGCCCATTAGCCGTACTAGCACCTGGTGCTTGAGCAACATCTCTCCACCCAGTGTCAGAGCCGGCGCATGCGGCCAGCGAGAGCGCAGACAGACACACAGGGGCCATTGGTGTGGCCGGGCTGGAAGTCAGCAGCACTGTGGGCTCCGGAACCTCCCAGGACCAAGCAGGAGTCCCGCACAGCCATGCCTGCTGGCTGCAGCCACTGGAAGCACACACGCGCACGCTCCCGTGTGCTCGCTCTTGCTCAGGCATGTGCACATGCTCACAGGGCACACCCACACACGCATGCACTGAGCCACAGTGCACTCACAGTCAGTCCGCATGCACACTCCTGCACACTCACACCCCTCACACTCGTCATATGCACACTCGTGTTGGTGTACACGTGCATGCATTCACAGGCGCTTCCACAGTCTCCCGCTCACGTGCACACGCACACACGAACCCCTAGTGCCAGCACACAGCCAGAGGCTCCTACTCCAACGGAGAAGCCCAGCAGGGCCAGTGCAGGGGCCCCTGTCAGCTGGCTGAAGACGTGGGCCACGCACAGATGCACCTCAGAGGGAAGAGCTGTGGTCGGGGCTACGGCCGCGCCCTTCTTGAGAAGGCGAGTTGGAAGGAAGGGGGTGCCCTCTCCCGCCCCGCGGCTACCCTGGGCAGGGGCCAGCTGCTCTCTTTGCTGTGGTTACATTTCCTTCTCCTGCTCGTTCATTCACAGACGGTGAACAAAAGAACTCTTTTCCCTAGCTGTATCTCTAGCCGTTAAGATCAACATCAATAGTTGTGAATTGTCAATATAGCATTTTACCAACTAATCTTTTTCCAAAATGTGAAATGACATGGCATGCAAGGCCCTTTCTGGGACTGGTTTAAGGTAAACACAATTGAGGGTGGGCTTGGGGTCCCCTGCATCTGAACATCTTAATGAGGGAGAAGGCTCCGTCCAAAGTAACGCCTTCCCGTGTGCGTTTGTCAGCGACGTGCAGCGGGGGCTCTGAGGCAGGCTGGTGGGCAGGCAGGGCGGCCCTGCGCCTGCGGCCCTCTGTGTGGCGGGGGAGGAAGTCTGATCGGGGCCGTGACACCAGCGTGTTTGGTAAACATCTCACTGCGCACCGTTCCTGCCTCGCCTCTGGAAAGGTAAGGTTTCAGAACGAACAGTCCCAGGCCTTCCGCTTGCAGGAGCCAGCAGGGTCTGGGGACCACGAGCCGCAGGTCGGGGGTCCCCAGGGAAGGGGCCCTGTCGCTGTAGGCAGGAGCCCCCATAGCAGTGGGCAGTCACAGCACTCACCTCCACGGGCTACCAGAAGATGGGTGTCTCCAAACCCTGACTCAGGGCACGACCGTGCCCATGTGTTTGCAAACCTCTCGGTGCAGTTGAGGCAGCACTGAAGGAGCCAGTAAAACCCAGTGACGCTGGCCTGACTGTCGCGAAGCACTCGAGGCCCCGAGGCAGGGTGGGTGGCTTTGCCGTCCCAGGACTCGGCCGTGGCCTGTGTCCAGCTGGAGGCCAGGCTTCCGCACTCTGCCAGGAGCCCTGAGGAGCTCCCACACGCCTGTAGGCCAGGACCAGAGCCTGCACTCCAGGGCCACTCCTGGGTGGGGCCGTAGTCACCCCAGGCGCTTGGCCTGCAGGCTCAGGGGCCCCTGAACGAGTTCTGTCTGGCCACCAGGAGGGGAAACAGAGGCCGGGCTGCTTCCTGCAGTCGCCAGCTCTTCTCAGGGAGATCTCGGTTCCCGCCTCTTTCTGAAAGCGCCTGCGTTTCTGCACCGCAGCAGCGTGGGGCAGAGTATTGCAACCAAGGGGAATCACGCTGCATTCGGACAGGCCCCAAGCGTCCCCCAGCATCTGAGCTGTGACCCTCACCCCAGGGAAGGACAGGCGGACAGGGCACTGCCCACCATCTGGAGCCTCATTTTTTTTTTTTTTTTTGAGACAGAGTCTCACTCTGTTGCCCAGGCCTGAGTGCCGTGGCGTCATCCTAGCACACAGCAACCTCAAACTCCTGGACTCAAGCAATCCTTCTGCCTCAGCCTCCCTCCTGAGTAGCTGGGACTACAGGCATGTGCCACCATGCCCGGCTAATTTTTTTCTATATATTTTTAGTTGTCCAGCTAATTTCTTTCTGTTTTTTTTAGTAGAGACAGGGTCTCACTCTTGCTCAGGCTGGTCTTGAACTCCTGAGCTCAAACGATCAGCCCGCCTCGGCCTCCCAGAGTGCTAGGATTACAGGTGTGAGCCACCGCGCCCGGCCTGGAGCCTGATCTTAACTGCCCAGTGGGGGCAGCCCCCTGAAAGTCCCAGACACCTGAGGGCTGCCCCTGGTGCACCGCACCTGGTGAACACCTGTCTCTGCCGTTCTGCCCCGGCACTTACGTGGGAGCTACCCCCGCCCCACCCCCGCCTCTCCTTCCACCATCCGCCCTCAGGTAGCCCATCAGGACCTGGGGCCAGCCCTCGGTCCCAGGCCCCTCTGAGGACAAAGCCACCGCCGTCCTGCCTGGGGACCTGCAGCGCCTGCCCTCACCTCCGAGGCTTCAGAGGGCTGAGGCTCAGGGTCCCTTGGACAGGGCAGAGTGTGGCACAGGGGTGACCAGCCCGAGGCCCCATCCAAGCAGGAGTTCTCCCAGGACTTGCCCCATCCACGC